GGACTTTTACTACATTAGAACTCTGTAGTTCTTGTTCAGCTACCTGAACTCGAGGACCTTCCTCGCTTGGCGACATCTTTGGCATTCCAGTTTGAATCATCTCTAAAGAAATACTATAGCTGGATGATGGAGTCTTTGGGTTTTCATAGTGCTCAGTGCTTTGCATTTCTGCAGAGCTGCCCACTACTAGACTTTGAGTCTTTTTATTAGTAGGAGTTGACTCCTGATCACTATCTGAAAATAGTGCATGACCTTTAGAGGCCGTACGAGGTGAAACCTGTAAAGGTTGCTCCTCGTCTGATATAGGATCCACATCCATAGCTTGTGATCCATCTTCTAAAGATGATCCAGCTTCAGTGTTCTTTAAAGAACTTGCAATCTCTTTAGATTTGCCTCTTGTCAGCCTTAGGCCAGCTACTTCTCCTTCTTCAGGAGATGTATCCACTAATGGATCAGGTGCTGTAGATGCACTTGTTGCTTTAGTAACTTGCGATGTTAATGAAACATCTGGTGCTTTATAAGCACTTGTTACCTTAGTACTCTCTGGTTCTTTAGAAGCACTTGCTTCCTTAGAAGCTTCTGTTGCCTTCTTAGACATTGCTTCCTTAAGGAAGATCGGGTGTTTAACTTGCTTATGCGGGTTAGCTGCTGTAGGCGACTCGGATTTCTTCTTTTGTAAGTGCCTCTTAGGAGGCGGCATGCTTAAAACTGAAGTCGCTCAAGGCGAGTCTCCTGTATTTATACTTTTCTAATATCTGAATATCTCCAGTCTACTTCAAAGTAGACTACAGAGATTAACCTAGTGTACCAATACACTATAGTAAATAATGTTGATTCTAAAATCACACGTAAGTGCAATTTGTAAATCGGCACGTAAGTGCTTATGTTCAATAGCAGCTTTATTTATGGTTGAATATTAAAATCCGTCTACGTAAGTAGTATGTATAACCTTACACGTAAGTGCAAACTTATAAATATACAGCTTTTAAGCTATTAATAAATTAACACGTAAGTATTATTTTTCAATTTTGACACATTTAAGTGTTGTTTTAATATATATTCATATATTGATCTGGATTCTAAAATCTATATCACTATAAAGTGAATAATTATATGCTTATAAAGCTATTAATAAACTTAACACGTAAGTGCAAATTTATCAATATCGACACTTCTATAAGGCCGGTTTTGCCAACTTTCTGAAATTGTGAAAATAATTTCTTGGATGGAGTAAAACACCTTACTCCGGGAACTACATTGTGTATTTCATATCCTCGTGCTGAAATTATGAAGCGTATTTGAAATTCTGTAAAATGTTCAGGACAATTTGAAACATGAAATTCGTTCAGATTGTCCCGTTTGGCAACTTCAAATTGCAAGACTGCACCTCCAAGAAATTCTCCTCAAAATTCGATACCCAGAATTTTCCTCTAATAAGTAAAAACGAGGGTCAGACAACGTTTTCACTTTGATAAGAGAAATAGACTGATCTATTTTAAAATTTACTCTGGCTTTTTGAGCGCGCACTTTTAAAATCTCGGTATATCACATTTTTATGTATGTACGTAAATATACATGATGAATAGATTCTAGCTGTTAATTCCAACCAATGGATGGGGTTTTACGATAAACAAAAATAGAATTGACAACCACCCACTATTTCAATGGACTCGTGGTCAACTGGAAAGTGAACTTTTTAAGGAAATTATGGGCTGCCATGATGAATAGTTTCTAGCTGTTAATTCCAACCAATGGATGGGGTTTTACGAAAAACAAAAATAGAATTGATAACCGCCCACTATTTCAGTGAACTTTTTAAGGAAATTCTGGGCTGCCCTACAGCCAGAATTTGTTGGACTGGCTAGATTTTTATTATTCGAATACTGGAAAAGAAATTATCCGAAATACAGACCACAATTCCAAAAACAATAATTTCCTCAGAATTTTATAAAGTTGGCAAAACAGGCCTAAGTGTTCGTATCAATATACTAATATATTGATATGAGATTCTAAAGTCTGTAGCACTTCTAAAAGTGCGTTTCGTTTTAATTATTTACTTCTAAAAGTGAACAATTATATTAGCTTGTAAATGCTATAGCACTTAGTACTATCCAAAAAATATATATATACTGTCGTTTCCAGCTATTCTGGCGAACGGTAACACCTTTCTCGGATTTTTATATAGAAATAGAACTTAAAATAAAGACAATTTCATTGGTTGAAAACAGTCGCGAACACGTTGAAAACAATATTTATGAGATGATTAAATGATCTTGATATCCAATAGTTATTAGTTTATATATCTTGAAAATATTTTACTATTGGCTATTGTCTAAATAATTCTACCTTAAAGATCTGCATATTGGTCAAATTTGTTATAATAAACCAATTGATATCCGATATTCAATATGACCTGTTTCGTTTTTTTACCTACTGGCAACGAAATGCACCTGATGGCAAAGTAGGTCAATTCACTACAAGGGCAGTTTGTATTTATATTACAGCAAACAAGAACATGTGCAGGAACCATAGTCGCAGTTTGGCCCATGCACCTCTCGCCCACAATTGGTTCACCGCCGCTTGACCGACGTCAACCGCCGGTCGCTCTGTGTCCACCACCCCTTAACCTTTAAAAGGTTGTCAGAATAACGCTAGACCACCGGTTAACCCCTCTAGATAGTAGACAGGTAACCCTGTAGTAATGACAATAGTGTAATAACTAACATTAGCAAACATCGTATCACACTCATCTGTTCCACACATCTAAACACATAGTGTAACCAATATCACACTTATACAGTAATAGTAATTGTATACAGGCAATAGAAGTAGTGTGTTAGTCGCCACTATGGACCGTCGTGTACCACCATTTCGAGATCGAGGACGATCAATTGACGATGGTCAGCATCAGCAAGAGAAATCACGACGAGATCGAAATCAGGTGGACATTGCAAACGCACGATATGGATCACACACACCTTCACACGTTTCTAGTGCACCATACACGCGATCACGAGCACCCACTTACACGCCTTCTCGCGCAAAAGTACATATTAGTTCATACGCACGTAACATGCTACAACAAGTTTAATCACAAGCTCAATCACAAGGAATTCAACAATCACAATCATAAGGAATTCAACAAGCACAAGCACAAGCACATCAACATGGACAAATACGTGGACACCAAGTACAAGCACGCAGACAGCAAGTCCAAGCACATGCACAACACAGAAGCTTCAACCTACAAAGTTATGGAACACGGTATTACAACCTCAATCATGATGACATCACGTTATTAATTAATACCTTTTCCATTTTACATATCAGATATTTGGACGAGGCCATTAAAAGGCCCCAGTAAAATACCAAACATAAGAGTTGGTCTAGTTCTATTAATGTAACTTTATTTACTTTCCAAATTTATTTATATCTGAATACTTCGGTAGCGAGATGGCTCAACCGAATATAGGTTTCTAGGGACTATTAACGTTACCTAGTTTATCCTCCGATCAGCCAACCAGATGTGTCAGTCTGATGAAGGCTAAGTCGGTAATTCTTGATAAGTGGAAAGTTATTGGTTATGATAATAACAAAAGACATCAAGAGTATTTTATTTTTCTTTTTACATTTTTTTTCTTCTAGATATGACTTTATGAGTCATAGTTTCTAATAGAGCGGCAACGAAACACTAAATAAATTCCCTTCGGCGAAAACAGTACTGAGAGGATTACATATAGGCAATGTCTCAGCCTCACAATACCTCAGAGTATTGCTGTTTTCACGAGGCAAACCTAACTTTACCAAAAATACTCATTTCGTTTATTTACTTTGAAAGTATCACGATACTTAGATTTTACCTGCGCGTTTAATTATTCTAAGGCGTTAATATCGCCTTGAGAGACCGAATCTTACAATACCCTATCAGACGCGAACCATGACTGCGTACAACAACGTGACGAAAAATTGCATGAAGGGCCAGCGCTCTGCCGACCTGACCAAACGGCACAAGTGCTTGCAAATTGTTCTAACATTCAATGACGCCAAGGTGAGCGACAAAAGCACCGGCGGTACTCGACGAAACCAGTATGTGGCACAGCGGGTAGGAGTCGATTTGGACAAGAAACTCGGCCCAGGACATAATTTCGAAGTTCGTTTCGGTGCACTTAGCCATAGTAGAAACAAAAAAACAGTAGACTCGGTCCTCAACGTCCACACATGGAAGAGATTGAGGCGTTGGTGGCCGCACGTAAACTAGATGCAATGATGAGTAGAGTAAGAGAAAAACAGAAAGAACGGCGCCTCATGGCAAACTTCAGGGAGAAGACGTATCAGGAATACTCCCTGCCGTTGAAAGTGAAGCGCAGTGTTGTGATGGAGGACGGCCGGATTGAGCATGAGGTAATGGAGATTCTGATGTGCCTGCAGAACCTGTTCGGATCGATGGGCCTTCCGTTCACTATGTGGCATATGCCACATCGGCGCAATTACAGTGAATAGATTCCTTGTTCCAATGGGATAGCCGGTTTTGGACTACCGGTGAACAATCCCGAGGGAGCGCGGATCGTGGAAGCGCTTGAGCAAGAAAAACTGAATCGATTAGCCTGGTCTACGGAGTCGCTGCCATTTGAAACATTGTCAGCGCAGATGCGGGGCCTGAAGCTGGAGAACATGGCCTATCCAGAACCTAGAGACCACATGGAATCACCAGGTGTTACAGACGCCAAAACCGCTGCACCACCGGGCCAGGGTGTTGTGCAGGATACGGACCACGATGCCGACCACAACTTGACATCTGCATGAGCTTTAGAACATCCAGACGAAATGTAAATAGAATGTAGCAATGTAAATAGACAATCCTTTGTTTGTGTAGTGTAATCGATGCTGTGCAACGTACCAAAGAAAATATTTTCGTCCTTTGTTTACTAAGTCAAAATATCCGGTCACACACACATTACATAATTACTAGAGCATTTAAGTTTATCTTCATCGTCTCTTAGCTGTTCGATTTGCTCGTGTGGCAACTATGAGCTCTTAGCACAAGCCTTTAATACACTTTTTAGTTTACAATTGTTCTACAATCGGTTACCAGAAGTAGGTTCATTGTGCCAATTTGTAAGCTCTCGCGAGCAAGTTCCTATTCTATTAGTTTGCTTTCTATCCTCGTCAAGATTCACATCTTCAGCAACCTGGTGGGAGCGAAGAGAGTTTTTTAGGCAATATAGACGTCCATTACTTTCAGCATCAGCACTGTAGAATATTTTACCTTAACTCATGCTCTTCTTACAGAATAGTCTGTGTGTCCGTTGGTTCAAAAAGCACAACACGCTTCTTTTCATTTCTCGTGCATTGGATCATGTATTTTGATCGTTCTTTTGGCTAATTGCTGCCGTACCTCTTCTAAATT